AAACCGGTGGCAGGTGGCGTGGCCTTCTCCCGAAAGCTTTCGAGGAGAGGGTACCTTACGGCTCCTGGTTTCTCTAATTTACACTTGTGCATAGTGTGATCTCTTCCTCTTTTCTCTGTTTCCTACTGGTTTTATAAGCGCCTTCGGTGTTAACATAGTTGGGGAAGGGGAGACGCAGCGGTGCGGCTCTCTGTCCTGTAGCTGTAGAGGCGCATTCATAGTCGGTCGTCCGATCGTCACGGTCGCACAGCATTGGATGCGTATCGATCGTCGGACAGGTCCGCGCATCGCGCAATGGAGGGCCGATACCTATCTGACGCTGTGCAATCGTTATGATCGGACGACCAACTGTGTATGCGCTCTAAGGCATAGCCTAAGGGGCCGTTACTAGCGCAATGTGACTTGGGGGGGGGGGGGGGCAGTCGCCGCGCGCGGCTTAGCGAAGTAGTGTAAACTCGAACATTCCAGCTTCTCACGCATGTTAAGTGACTGCCCTCACCCCCGACCCCCCTGAATTGGCTACATTCCCCCTGGCTCACGAATTTCCTGTTGCCGCAACGCCGCGCGCGGCGACTGCTCCCCTTCCCGAGCTACATTGCGCCCCGTTGCTATTTTGCCGGCACAGTGCGCCCCGGAAGACGGGGAGGTGGAGGGGCAGTCTGTTGGATGACGACTAGGACTAAGCCTAACGGAGACGGACGATTCCGGAGGGATTAACTACTTACACACCTCTGATTTCCTCTTTACCTCTAACAAGGGAGGTCTTTCAGGGCAAGGTGCGCTTTTTCAAAACGGTTTTGTGCATATTGTAGGGACGCATGTAGGGAACGCAAAACCATGTTTCATTTTCGCTGAACGGTTATAGCAGTACCAAAAAAGAAGCATAAGGTACTGTTAAGGGTTCGATCCCCCGTGGCGACTAAATTTTGCATTTGGTTGGCGCCTACGGTTTGGTGCCAAATCGCGCTAAATATCAAAATCAGATGTCAAATTCATCGTCAGGACCATTTTGAAGCCAACAAGTGGCCGCCAACAAAATTGATTGCAAAGGGTCGCCATTGTGCAAAATGATTGCGAAATTAGTCGCCGCGGGGATTGAACCATCAAGAGTATTATTCACCACTTTTTTGGTACTACTAAAACCGTTCAGCGAAAACGAAACATGGTTTTGTGGTCCATACATGCGTCCCTACAACATGTACTAAACCGTTTCCAAAAAGCGCACCTTGCCCTGAAAGACCTCCCTTGTAAGGCAGCTATAGGAAGTGGTCGATCTAACAAGCACAGGTGCTAGGCTGGTGTCAGAGTCCGCGATCCGTCGCAGGTTTCGCTGATTTTCGCGATTTGCGCGATTTTCGCGATTCGATTCACGCGACGGGTCACGGAAATCACAAGTGCCCGATCAATACTGCAAGGTGTTCTCCAATCCTGCCGCCACTTCTGCTTGATAGTGATGGCTGAATGACGACTGCTCATGATTCATATTCAGTGTTTCAAATGTTCACACACTTGCAATTTTTGCGATCCGTCGCGTGAATCGCGCAAATCGCGTGAAAATCAGCGAAACCTGCGACGGATCGCGGACTCTGACACCAGCCTTAGATACGCATCGATCGCTCAGTTCGGGGCACGTCTTGCGATCGACACGCATCAAATTGGTGCGATCGTACGGGCGGCGCACCATAATGCACCTTAGGCTTAGTCCTAATAGTGAGCGCTTTTGTGAATTTGATGCAATAGTACGGGTTGACCCCCTCCACTCCCACCGGAGCCACATTGCGCCATTTCACGCAATACAGTTGAGTGTTTTTGGTACGTTCCCTCGTTGTTCGCTTATAAGTCATATGTTTCAGCGTGACGGTAGTGCACGGCATTAGGGCGAGTTGCTAAAGTCAGGCAAGCCTACGTTTGAATTATTGCTTGAAGACGAGTTGTACGTTAGTCGTTAGTTTTACGTTAGTTGTAGTTAGTGTTGTTCGCATAGTCAGACCTTTACCTATGCATCCTTAGTGCTATTACGAAGTTATTACGTGTGCCAACCCTAACTTTTCCTGATCTTGAAGTCAGAACACGCCTAGGATCAGATTGGGTTGAACTATATTTAGATTCAGTCACGAAAGCGATACGGAACATGTGCTCTTAGTTTGCTACTGCCGTACATTGTTGTCGCTGAAAGTGCGCTAGTGCGTGGCGTACACTTTTGGCGTATATGTTTTGGCTGAAAGACAATTCCACTTTTTGAATATCGGAGCTGTGCGTTGAGCCCGCTTCGAACAAGTCCAGGTAACTCTCTGTACCTTCTACCCTACTCCGCAAGCAGTTTGAAACAGTTTCGTGGATCATTCGCTCATTCATCTACCACCGTGAATTGCGGTCTGCTATCCACGATTGAGCGGTCATCCGCCTGCTTCAATGGTATCCTTACATATAGTTATCTTTCAGGTCGCCATGGTTAAATAGAGATGTTTCTGCTTGCCCCCTCAGTAGGCCATCAGACGTCTCCTTACCCCTCGAAAATTATTAATTACATAACTTCATAACAAAGCTTGTCATCTGCTCGTGTAATAGGTACTTCAGAGTAGGAGGCCTTAAAGTCTTCCAATCAGGTCAGGTCACCAGAGTCATGCAGTGGTCTAAGTCTAGGCTTATGCGTTAGGCTTAGGCTCAGATGACTTGCGTGAGCAAAGTAGGGGGACTGACAGAGTCCGAGATAAACGCTCTAATGTGAGGACATGTGAAAGCATTGCCGAGAATGTCACACAGCAGGGAAGGGTTTGAACACCATAAGAAATCCGGACGCACAGGGCAATTTTGCTCCCCAAAATGCATGTGAACTCCTCAGCGCGGTTCAACTTTTTTCGCTTCGTTCAATGCAGGCCGTCTTAAGAAAATCTTTTCACTCCTATTAAAGAAGGCTCTCAGTAAATTAAAGTTTCATCTTTCAGTAAAGTGAGCGAGAAAGGAGTTTGGATAAATAGTGTAGCGCAGATATTAAGGAATATGTGGGTAGGGTACGACCTATGCGGCGCAGTGCAAGTTTCATTGATGTGCTTTCGAGCTACGAGATCTCTGCACGGGTCTATTCCAGTTAGGGGGGCATCATGATGCAGTTTCTCGGCGAGCTAATGTAAACTCGAACATTCCAGCTTCTCACGCATGTCAAGTGACTGCCCTCACCCCCCCCCCCCACCCCCCCAGAATGGCTCGTATAGCATACATTATGGCGGGGGGGGGGGGGGGGCCGTAAGGTATGCTTCCCCGAAGGGTTAGGGGACGAAAATCCCTTTAAATTTTCTCTGTCGTCCCAACTGGGATTGTCCTGATAAAGGGCCTACATTTAATATATGTGTGTTGCTTAAAGTAAACATGCATTGAGAATAAAGAAACAGTGTCGTTCAAAACAAAAAATTTAAAGGGACTTTCGTCCCCGCAAGCATTCGGGGAAGCATACCTTACGGCCCTGACTAGTAAAGGACGCCATTCGTTACGGGTCCCACTGCCTCCTGCTACAGTGAACCCTTCAATGTGGAGCGGGGAATCCGTGAGCCAGGGGCAGTGTCGCCAGTCTAGGGGGGTGGGGGGTGAGGGCAGACACTTGACATGCGTGAGAAGCTGGAATGTTCGAATTCAACCGGGATCCCCGCGGGTTAAGGCAGTGGGTCCCGCAACGAATGGCGCCCTATACTAGTCAGTAGGAGTACAAAATGATCACTCCCATCCCTTAGGCTGTGCACACTCCCCCCTGGCCTCAGAGTGTACAGGAGCTGTGGGTGGGAGTCACCGCACCATGATGCCCCTAACTGGAATAGACCCTGCTCGTGTTTACCTTTATCGTTCTAACTTTGTAATGACTTTCTTAAAGTTCATCCTACTACAGGTGAAGATGACTTCGTATGTAATGCCTACAGATGAATACCTGGCTTCGCTGAACATTCCCCGTTGCAGCTTCGATTTCGATGATGCGGTAGGCCTTTAAATAATTCGAAGAAAAGATGTATTTCTATTATAGCCCAGTGTTGGGATTGTGGAGTGTGGGAAATATTTTGATCGGTAACATACCGTAGTGAGTGCAGGATCTACGAACCCCCACAGAGTTGACCACATATTGTTATATTGGAGGTAAATTCGGAACAGGCCTTGAATTTGAGACTGAATAAGCTCCCATCGTCTGGTTTTGGGTCCAAGCGCTCGATTTCTTCTAATCTGCCAAATGTTCAGGCTATAGGCCGATGTCAGACTTTGCGAATCGCGCGATTCGCTAGCGTCCGCGGTCGCGTTGCGGTACCAGCCAATTGAGTGATTCACTGGCCGCGACGCGACCGCAGACGCTAGCGAATCGCGCGATTCGCAAAGTCTGACATCGGCCTTATAAAGTTAAGCGCTATGCAGACTCGAAGAAAGTTGTGCTTTAATAAAACTAGACACCACAATCAGCATTCCCTTAAACATAATAAACTTGTACAAAACAATAATGTTTTGATGTTCAGTGAGATTTCTTCTTGTTTGTTATAGGATCAACTAAGGATACATTTAATGTGTGCGATGCTTTGCTGTCCTAAGCAAATTGACGATGATGGATGCATAAGAGCTGAACTAGTAAACAAAAATGCGAGGTAAGTTCCGTTTCAGGTTCCTTCTAGTGTGTTATTCAGTATTCTTTTGCATCTCAGTGACATTACTGGACAACTAATGGATCTTTATGCTATTGGAAGAAAGGCTACCCAGGAAGATGTCAATGAGTTCACGAAGATCACAAAGAATTTGGTTGGTTTTTTCAACTGCCCTGACCATTTACCTGCAATAATTCTTTTTCATTTCCCCAGCGACGAGACTCGGTGATGAATGAGATCTCCTATTAGGAGGTTTTAAATGCCCGGTTAGGGGCCTCGAAATAGCCATACTACCTTGCGTGCTATATTATAGAAACAGCGGCCTGCGCAACGCCATACGACGCGCCGAGAGACTGCTGCAGTGAGTAGATACTTCGTGTGAGTGACACTGAACCCCACTATTCGCTAATACATATGCAAATCCGTACGTTTGATGCTCCAAGAAGTTTCAAGAAAACAACACTTATGGCAATCAAATCCCGAGCCTGCTACACTTTTTCGGCTTTTCGAGCCGTCTTAGAAAAGAATTATAAATGCAGTGGGATACCCAGTTTACACCTATTTACACCCCGCCAGACTGAGCAATGCTCAGCCAGCTGAAGGGCATTTCATGCACAGAATGAATAGTTTTTTATCATTCTCTTTTTGCTTTGTGCACATGATGATACAGTCACGAATTTTTTTGCCAAGCATCTTCCCATGTTTGTAGGCCTTCTCGGGTTGCCTTACTTTCATGTATTTGAGAATCTGGAACATGGCAGAAGTGTTACTGATGGGAGTGGTTTGGGTTTTGGGAGTCTAGGTATAACGTGAAAGGGAGGAGAAAGAAAAATGGGAGAAGTTAAGACAATTGATTGTTTTTCTCGTTTCAAGGTTATTTAATACCGCCATCCCAGTTCCTGATGATTTCTGGCGAAAGAAGTTATCAACTGTGAAAGTTCCAAATTCGAGGATTTTCCCGTTTCATCAAAGGTATTTGCCCCCCCCCCCCACCCCACCCCCCCCCCCCCCCCTCGCCGATGGTCTTGGGTTTTGGAGAGGAAATGGGGTGGAATTGAAGTGGGTCGAGTGGTCTCAGAATCAAATACTATAGAAACTGTGAACTTGAAGATGACGTCGGGGAATGGGATATGTCAAGTCTTTGTAATTCTGCTCTGCCTCATTTGCTCATACTCTACCCATTCCAAACTTGACCCGCCCTCCCTAGGTGATTTTTGAAGGAAGAATTATAAACATGTGGGGGACACTTGCGAATTTTTGGGGAGCGGTCAGACAAACAAACTCTGGTTTATATAATAGTATGATAGGGGGGTGATCTATGGTCTATTCAACCCCCATTACCTGGTTTTTTGGATGTTTTTGGACGAAAAACGCCTATTTTTTCACGAAAAATTTTACTTTAAGCGCACGCCCCGCCCACAGGAGGCGGAGTTTAGCATGGCCAATATATTCCAGTTGTAGAGCGGTAAATACCCTATTAAGGCCTTATTTTTTCCCTGTCTTTAGACTGTTCCGAAGCCAAAAACTGCAATTTTTCAACGAAATTTCGATTTTTGACGCACGCCCCGCCCACTTGGGGTAGAGTTTTTTATGGCCAACATATTCCCGTTGTAGAGCGGTAAGTTCCCGTAATAACTTCCCCCTCATAAGCCTTCGGCCCGTAAATTTGTCCGGCTCCATCTTGAATCTGTTGAAATAAGTCAAAAAACTGGAGAACGAATTTTCGCCACTCTCAGGGCAATTCAAAGTTCTTGTCTCTAAATTCGGCTAAACTCAGCCTCGGGCAGTGGGGACCGCGAAAGCGGCACTCCCCGCGCCCTGAGTTCGAAGTTTCAGTCATGCCGAGCTGAACTTCTCGGCTAAGTATGCATGCGAGCTCATACTCTATCCATACAAAATAATTGACCCCGTCTCCTCCGGCGGACCATTCATAGGCTTATGACGTGGACATATTTGCGAGCAGTGAACACGAAGCCATGTATGACTATTCCACGATTGGGGGGGGACGATCCCGTGCGTACCATCTCCTTTTCGTTGAACGATGCAGTTTTTGGCTTCGGAACAGTCTAAAGACAGGGAAAAAATAAGGCCTTAATAGGGTATTTACCGCTCTACAACTAGAATATATTGGCCATGCTAAACTCCGCCTCCTGTGGGCGGGGCGTGCGCTTAAAGTAAAATTTTTCGTGAAAAATAGGCGTGCGAGAGAAGAATAGGCGTTTGCGTCCAAAAACATTCAGACAAAACACAACAATCTGTTAATAATAGGAGGTAGATAGTAGAATAGCGGCGCTCGTGGGCGAGCACTGGTAGTTTCACCTGACCAAACAGGCTTATTCTGAGGCATGTGTTAGACTTCGCTATCGCAGCTGCTATCGCCTGCAGCAGGGCCCAACCGTCGCGTTGGCACTTTCCCAAAAATTTTGCGATCCCCTCTCCTATAGGGGGTTGGGGTGCCGATGTTACCCCTACCACCACCATCGAACTTATGAGGCTCCCCTACGACACCCCTCCTTCCTACCCCATTCCCACCATCATGGCTGTTTCTATAGTATTTGAATCCAAGATAACACCCAACTCGGCCCTTTCTTTCCAGAACAGATCAGGGAAGTAGTAAACCCGCGAATGTTGTCCACTGTACCTTACTTTCATGAGAATTTGACAGAAAATCTAATCAATGCAACCCCATTTTACGAAATCCGCCATCTCACACTTTTTCTCCATAGTTCACGCTTTTACCTTTATCAACTCCGGAATATGCCCCTCCCCCTTGCTAACGTCGCAATTGCGACCCCCTCGTTCGAACGGACAGTTGACCCTGCACTGCAGCCGCGAGGTAAGTCGCTGATCTGGAACAGTCAGAAGTGGAACTCGCAGGCGTTTTGAGTAGTTTTACGTAAATGGAGATTTGGGTGCGGAAGGGGCAACAAATAGGAGTGAATGTATTCGGATTTATTCCTTTTTATTGCTGATGCAGATCAGGGCACGTCGCAGGGAAACATCTCTTCATTAACTTCAGTATAGCTTCGTTTATAGGAGGATCCCACGATAAGGTCGAGGTTGAAGAAAGGGAAACTAACCTAATAGAAAGATAGGCGGACTACCTAAGGATGCGGACCGACATACAATTCACAGCGAACGATACGCCCCGGTGATCTAGCATGGTCCTCCTCGCGGCGCTGTCGGTGCGTTGGCGCTCCACAATGCTGCCCAAAAGAACAATTCGATGCATGCGTTCCCTCTAGCCGCACTCTGCAGAGTCTCTTACCAGGAAGGTCTTTCAGGACATGGAGCCCTTTTTGAAAACGGTTTTTTGCATGATAAAGGGGCACATGCATGGAGTACAAAACTAGGCTCCATTTTTTCTGAGCGGCCCTCTGAATGCCAAAAAAGGAGTGAAAAAATTTCTTCAGAAATCGGAGTTTTCACACCTTCAACGTGGTTTATATCACTCGTTATGTTAAGTGGACGCACAATAGAAGGTTTTCTTCACCTGAACGTTGAAAACAGCGTGGAATAAAGCCAATACCAAAAATTGTACATAATAAGTGCTCAAAAGCACAAAGGAAGTTTCATCAGAGTCGTTGACATTCATGTACAGCGGTGGTCGGATGGTCGAGTGGATAGCGTGATGGACTCTGGTTGGCACGGTTTGTTCGAAGTTGTTGGTTCGGTTCCCCTCCATGCTCGGATTTTTGCATTTTTCCGATTATCACTTTTCTGCATTTGCACGTGCTTGCGCGTGAACTTAAAGCCTATAGGTGTCATTTCCAAGAACTTTCTCCCACAATTCTGCGATATTTCGTAGTACCATGTTTTTTCAGTTGTGTACGAAATTCCGTTTACAAGCAATAAATAACTAGCAGTTATGGTAAAACTCAATGAAGCATCTGAATCACAGGCGCGGATCACACCAACTGCATCTAACGAACGCCAGAAAAGTGAAGTTGTCATTTTCTTCGCAAGGAACACCTACTCCATTTCCCTTGAAGGCAGATTGCCGGCGTTGAGGAACGTCCAGGATGCTCGTCGACGTAGCCAGTGCCCACCCAGGCATACGCCATGCATCGACGAGATCAAGGGGTGATGCCAGATTGCCCCATGGGCAGGAACTGCGGTGGAAGTGTAACTATCAACCAAACGTGCCGCTTGCTATCATCTCGAAGCTGTCTCCAAGTGGGAAGCGTGCATGCCGTACTGACTATGGGCTAACCCATGGCCCAATTTTTGAATTCGGGCCGAAATCTTGATCTTCTCTAAAACTGCGGCTATAAGGGTAATTATAGGCGCTGATTACGAATCTGACGTCCATTTTTGATGGAGGCGCGATATTGTGCCATTTTAGCCTCCTCGGGCACCAACTCGGCGCCGCTTTAGCGCCATACAATTTTCGCCCCAATTCTGGGCAGAAAGCTAATCAGAAAGGTTGATGATGACCCTGATTGTAAGAACAGTACCTATTTTTATCGGCGGTAACATTTGGAGTCATTTAACATGCGCTAACATGAAATGCAAAATTTTGTCATCAGCCGGGACCGATCCCTCGACCAATTTTTCATACCTTTTTTGGCATTACAGGGCCGCTCAGAAAAAATGGAGCCTAGTTTTGTACTCCATGCATGTGCCCCTTTATCATGCAAAAAACCGTTTTCAAAAAGGGCTCCATGTCCTGAAAGACCTTCCTGGTTAGCTTGAAGGTAAGCAGCTTCCATAAGGGCGCACGCATAGTCGGTCGTCCGACAGCAACGATCGCAACTGTCTGACTGTCTAACTGCATCTAATCGTCGAATACTCAGGCAAGTCCGACGATCGATACGCATCCAATGCTGTGCGACAGTTACGATCGTTGCTGTCGTCCGACCGACTATGCGTGCGCCCTGAGAGTCGCATCTTTGCGGAAAGTAACGGGCAAGAAGGTCCCATTTCTCCGAGTTGCGGCCCTTTCTCCTGTTTTTTTTAAACCGGCGCAACTGAACCTCTATATTTTTTTTTTTTGTTTTTGTTTTTGAGCGATCCTAATGGTTCCCCTCTAATCGTAAACTCCGCTTCTAAACAAAGTCGTCCTCTACTTCCGTAATCAGAAATGTCACCTTTACCATCGAAGAATGCACTTTCTGTCATTTTCACCTCACTTTTCCAGGAAAGGCTTTTCCAACATCCGATGTTCTCAAAGATTGTGGCGATGGATGGGCAGGCAAATTTCCATGCTGTGCCTCCTGAGTCGATAAGGAAACTCTATGAAAGAATCCTTCGAGGTGGCAAAGCAACAAGGCGTAGGTGCGATATTTTAGCATCTTGTCGCCACAGTTTTCATGCCATTCCTTTACTCAGGAACGTGCACTACAATTTCTTTCGTCTGCTTTACGGAATTTCTCATTCTCATACATTGCTAACCTGTAATTTGAGGGATGGGCTGAAAGAAACATTAAAAAAGAGGGAAGCCAACTCGCCAGAAGCTGTCTACAAATCTAAAGTGGTTGGTTTTTACGTTCTTGGAGATTTTTAAAGATTACTTGAAATCTGCCTTATTTCATTCTAGGCATGCAATTTCTTAATGGAGCTCATTGAAAGGGAGCGCCTACATAGAGGACTACGCATGGTAAGCTGACAATCGTTAATCACAATCGCCTCGTTGAATGAATATGAATCGATATTCATATAATCAAGTGGGCTATTTTATAAAAAGATCCATTGAAGCAACAACCCAAGTTCAAATTGGTGGGGTAATAGCAATAGGTATCAATAACGATGGTGTGGGAAGTGTGTCTAGAAGACTTTTTCGAACGCAATCGCATCAATCGATGGGTCGACCATATCTATCTACCTATTGGCTGTTTTATTCGCTACGTCGTGACCCACGTTGGGTGAGGGCTAGCGCGAGTATCGGTTCCATGTGCTAAGGCTAAACGCCAAAAGTTCACTAATGTTAACTCGTGAAAACCTAGCGCCATTGTCGTGCACTTTCGAGATGTGGCAGTGGCCCATCTGTGATACCCGTGGGCTACTCTACCCAGGGTGTCCCCCAAGAGGCCCATCGCGCGGCGAAGAAGAGACGCCGACGCGCCAAAGGAAAAGTCGCAGCCTAGTACGTGACTCGTCCTTTGCCGCGTTTGGGTCTCTTCATTCGCCGCTCGACGGGCTTCTTGGGGGACAGCCCTTTACCCACCCACAAAACAGATTCTTCGACACGACTTCCGCTGGTGTTGTTGCTTTAAATCATGTGAGCTAAGCCATTAGTAGGCTTTCGGAGTGCAGGATGCTTACATGGTCAGTTTATACCGTGTAGTCAAACGTGGTGCTGAACCCATGCTTTTGCTCGACCATCAATTTAATCAGGCATTAGTTGTAATCGTGTGTAGTATGCGAGCGATAATAAGATTTTCACTATGCTGTTATGCTATTTTCCATGGCAAATCATCAAGTGGATTAAAGAGTGGAAAATAATAATAAAATAATAGTGATCTATAAGAGGAAAAAGATCATGAGGCGCGAGCAAAAATTGCTAACAATAAGACGTGAGCACTACTACCGCCAACGGCAAACAGTTTACGTGTGCGAATCATTCAGCTCTGTATGTTAGTACCAGCATCTGTCCCTATGCAGGATTACTTGTTGCGATCCTGCACAACTTTGTGAACTTCGAACGTTTACCTCAAATGTGATTAATATTATTCCCTAAGACAACCAATTTCACCGATATATGAGTAATTGACCAGAAAACGTTTAAGATCAGTACAAATTATAAACGAATACATGGTTAGTTTAGAAGAGTTTCGAAGACTTATGTGATTTTTTATTGTCATTTTAATTTGCTTGTAAATTGTTAGACTTGTCGTTCTAATGAATCACTTGTTAAGGTTGAGTGGCAATCGGTTCAAAACCGATACCGCGAAATGGTCACTAATGACGAAAGTGAAGATCGAGAGCTCATGAATACTTACATCGAAAAATACGGCATGGACTTCAGCATGAACTCACTGAATAGCGAAGTAAGCTCTTTTTCCTCCCTTCACCTGACTATGATTCGCTATTACAAGAAGCGACTTTTTCCCTTATCGCAGCGCGAAGCTTTTCTGCAACGGCTTAGTGGACCTGGGGTTCCCGCATAGCAGAATTCCAAGCTGCGAAAAGCAAAAAAATCCTTTCTGTCCTAGCGGCCCACACCGTATTTAGTATCGGGTTAAATCTGAGACAGACAAAGACAGACAACCCATACGCACCACACCTGCAGCATTGGTCAATTTGTACTAGGATGTTTGGCTGAACGAGAGGCTTTGAATTATAATTAAAATACGTTGCCGAAATGGCTCCGAATGGAATGTGTAACGCATCAAACCATATTTTACAAGCACTGACTCTTTCTTCCTTTCTGTCCAATGGCATTGTACTGTAGGCATAATTCCACTTGCTTGAAGTAGGACTCTAAAAACTTAGGAAGATATCTGATTTTCATTTCCCGTTTTTGTTGATTGTTGGCCTTTGCTTATCAATTCATTTGTGACTCGTTCCAGTTGATAAAGAAGTGGACTGGTAGAAGCCAAGCTGTGAAAGGATTCACGATGCCGCTCTTCTTACCTATCCACCACGAGATGAGAAACAACTTACTGTTTGTAGGATTCAATGACGACGCGGGTTGGTCTTCCTTCTCTACATTGGGATTGATTTGGATTATTTTTTTGTTGATGGCGATTGTTACAATTTTCGGTTTCTATCTATCGTCCTCTGAGCATTTTAGAGGTTTCAGTCTTGTACAGTGAGGAAGAACTGCAAAGAGACAAAGAGCTGTGGCAGTCAGGAGAACGAGCAAAGGACAAAAAATTCGAGAAGGAGCGAAACAATCCTGTCAAAAAAGAACGAGGCAATGAGTTGGAAGGTGTGGTTCCTCTGAGAAGCCGCCAAGCTCACACGGTATGTTTCCGATATGGGAAATTTAGTTCAATCATGCATAGTTCTTCTGAATCCCATTGAATTAACCGAAAAGCTTGAAAAATGTCGATCAGATCTAGTAATTAAACAATTTAGAGATCCTGGTTTTCGTAGTGATCCTCTGCTCTAATAATCAGCTTTATTAGGCTGTATAACAATCTCTCATCCGGAGTTCTATAATAGTTAGGCTTTCTAAATGGTTTTATCTCCATATTTTCAAGATTTTCCCTCCCAGTGGTTGCATGTCAGAAATGTTGGATCCAAATTTAATTCGATAATAGAATTCGAATTCGAAATTCAACTTTTTCACTAGAGCTCTCGTTTTTTTTGCAATGCGAATTACGTCCTGCCCCAGTTTTTTTTTCTATATATGCACCGCAGTGAAGCGTCTAAGAAGTTTCAGATCAGCCTTTTTCGCTGGAACCTTCGATTAGATCTCATATTCCTTAGTACTTTCTGATGAGACCCCCTAGCGGATCAGACTGGTTGCCACTGTGCCACTGCTGTGTCAGTTCTTGGCCTTATCATGGAGGGCTTCATGGTGTTGTCTAGTATTTTAGGGTTTGCTCACAGAAATGTAGGCTGGGGAATACAACATTCTCACTACATTCTCACTGGTTGTATAGTTGGCCAGTGGGGGCAATTAGCTCAGAAGTAAAGGAAGGCATCGGGGGAGGCGCTGAAGTACCCTGTATTGCGTACTCACACACCGTCGGGTCATAATGAGTGGTCGAGCGGTACTTTTTGAACTTATTTATGGCTCCGCTTTGTTTGCCCTTTCTGTTATGCTTGCGCATTCCATTCTTTCACATATACTTACGCCTATTTCTGGGCTTAAAGGCAAAGTTCGGGCTCAGACCCATTCAATAAGCCTTTACTGTGGCTAGAAGCGCTAGGTACGCAAGTGCAGAGTCGCGCCACTTTCCTACTTCGAAAAGCGTTACTAAGACGCTAGGCGCTAAGAACTTTGACACGCTCCACCTGTTGCGACACGCTCCGCCCACCGCTCGATATCTTGTCTGCGTCGCTAACTTGATCTGCTATGCTCTCTCTACTCGGACTTCTCTACCGCTCTCCGCGCTCACATTATCTCTCATCTCCCTGCCGGCCTTTTGAACTTCTCCGCAGCGTAGAGCAAAAGGCTCGTATTTCCTGTGTATTTCACGATTTTTTTTCCTTTTTTCTCCACTGGCGGTCCACCTCCCACCCCTACTTTCACATTTGAGTGGAATTACCTCATCAATTCAATCCTGAATCTTGCCTTTAACTTTTCTCTCTTAACTTGTCCTTCGGATTCCGATTTAAAGTGAGTCATATTTCTCTCAACTGTATGGGCTCTAGCACTTCGAGGCAGAGAACAAGGCAATAAGCCCAATTAGTCACGTAACGCAATTGAGTTCGTGGCAATGATGGTTTCCGAAGATCGTCCAGCATTGTTCAAAGAATCACTCAAAGCAACTTTCGATTTTTTCTGGTTACGCTCGGTTTTCATCTCCGTTTTTTCTCAAAACAAAATCATTTATTTAAAATTTGCGAAGAAAATAACTTACATGACTGAAAACAATCGAAATTCCCATTCGTTCATTTCATTTTTTTCCAGGAAAGGAGCGATCTTCTTCTATCACCCGATCCAACTCATTCTTCACCGTTTGCCACGGAAGCTAAACCGAGTCAAATGTATCCACGACAGCAGTGGAAACCTGAGCCGGTAGAGTACTTTTTCAGTGCAGCTTTCTTTTCATTCAGTACTAGTAGCAATGTCGCGAAGGTTCTGATGGTCTTTTATTCAGCCAAAAGAGAAATTGAATAGTTATGGTGCAGCTGAACCACAATATACTCCCAAATTTGCTACTCCTGAAGACGATAACCCCGATAGCGATTCGGGTTCTGATGATCCTAACAATGAAACCGGTGTGTTCACGGATGATGAACAACCTCCGAACAAGGTACTATATTTGATGTTCATCCTTCTTGCGTGTAGGTGCTGCCTTAATGCTCATTTGGGTTCTGTAGATGGCTTTGTTTTTGAAAGTTTGACATTGGCGTTGAGTTAATCAGGAACTCGCCTTCTATTCTAGTAATTCTCATTCAGATTCTCAACCTTTGCAGTTGGAAAAAGCTGAAACGAAACTTTTTCATTAAACAGTATCGGTAGATGCTTCTGAGATCTGAACAGGGCCAGATCATGATTTTTGATCACTATTTTTTTGCTTTTTCCGAGACCCATGTTTAACGATGACCTTCTTATCTGTGCAAAGGACAGGTGTCTGTCTAATTATCCCAGCACTTTTTTTTTGTAATTCGTTGGACATGATGGAACAGAAGGTGCGCTGTGGTTATAGCTATCAAGGCGTGCCTTTGGAATTTACGGATATCTTCGCCCGGCCATGTCAGGCGGTGTCTTTTAGTTTTTAGTTTTTTTTTCTTGTCAACGGTGCCGTTGCCTGCTGTCCAAACTCTGATTTTAATAACTGCTGGCTCTTTTAAATACCAGATTGGTCCCCCTTTCACCGCCGGGACCATGCGTAAACTTTACGTTTTACGCTGTGGTTCCTTCCTGTGACACCAACACCTCGTGGAGAAGACGCTCATGAAACAAAAAAAGAGTTTCATTTACAAAACATTGATAGCTCAAGTCCTGCGAGCTGCTCGATTCTGTTAGCGGTTAAGTAGCTGCCTTATCAAACACTTCATTTTGCAGACGAACAGACAGACCCAATTAGCGGATTATAAACTAAGAAGGATTTGTGTTTTAATTGTGCATTTCGGGTTCTCCTTCAGTGTGCTCTAACGATTTCGTGCGGATTCCTCACTCATTAAATTTATTGCTTAACGCTAACCTGAGGTGCGCTCTCAGAAAACCTGTTTCAGTTTTGGACGTCTTGGCAAGTCCATTCCCTACATTAGACTCTTTAGCCAAAATTGGAGAGGCGCTATTATGTATTAATTTTCAACTTTACTCATTTCCATCGTTGCGGTTGCATCGCAGCTTTCTATTTCCATTAAGGAACCAACGAGCAAACCGCAAGAAAAAGAGTTTGGTGCCACTGGGTGGAAGTCGAAAGGTGCAACGTCATCGCCGAAACCGAAGCCTAATGCATCTAGCTCTGTTCAAAATGAAAATGCGGCTCCTCGCCAATCTCCGTCAATGATGCGAGAGGTTGTTTCCACTTTGCTTCACTGAAACCCTTTTATTTTCATTCGGTGTTCATTATAGCCAGCAAACATCAGCAACTTGCCGAAATCACGTGCAAATCCGTGGGAAATCGAAAACGAGGTTCCTGAACTAGTGAAACCAACGGCAAGGTATGAACCTCCTTCATCCACAGTGCCACATGCCCCAGTCGGATCAGGCTCGTCTGCAAACATTTCTACACAACCACCCTCCCTCTGTCTCAACTCCGCGTCATCGTTCCGCTTTCGAAGCTTGTAAATCTTTCGGAATTCAAGAGGTATCTTTTAACCAAAAAACGTCAGCTCATGCTTGAGAACCAGGTCCTATTTGAATGTATTTAGGAAAGGAATGAGTTCAAATCACCTCATGGAACTCGTGCTCCTGCTGATGGTGGGACCGAAAACCGTACAAGGAATTTGTATGAGCGTCGAGCTCACACAGATTCTCAGCAGGACCGGTACGATCGCAGAGGAGACAATGAAATTAACCAGGACCGGTACGATCGCAGAGAAAGTGGTGAATTCCAACGGGATCGGTACGATCGTAGAGGAGATACTGAAATTAACCAGGACCGGTACGATCGCAGAGAAATAGGTGAATTCCAACGGGATCGGTACGATCGTAGAGGAAATATTGAAATTAACCAGGACCGGTACGATCGCAGAGAAAGTAGGTGAATTCCAACGGGATCGGTACGATCGTAGAGGAGAATACTGAAATTAACCAGGACCGGTACGATCGCAGAGAAAGTAGGTGAATTCCAACGGGATCGGTACGATCGTAGAGGAAATATTGAAATTAACCAGGACCGGTACGATCGCAGAGAAAGTAGGTGAATTCCAACGGGATCGGTACGATCGTAGAGGAGAATACTGAAATTAACCAGGACCGGTACGATCGCAGAGAAATAGGTGAATTCCAACGGGATCGGTACGATCGTAGAGGAAATATTGAAATTAACCAAGACCGGTACGGTCGCAGAGAAATAGGTGAATTCCAACGGGATCGGTACGATCGTAGAGGAAATATTGAAATTAACCAAGACCGGTACGGTCGCAGAGAAATAGGTGAATTCCAACGGGATCGGT